AGGTTATAACCTAAATATTTTGTTTGTTAAATAAATATTTAGTTCCAAATTAAACATTTATTGAACAAAGTAAGGTTTTTATAAACGAATAAATTAAGTGGTGGAAAAATGATTTGAAAAAATAAAAAAGAAACCCCTCTGATTCTTTTCTTAAAACGCGCTAAATAACCATAAATATTGCTCCTGATTTTTGACTGCTGAACTTTACAGCTGGCGGCCGATAGGGGGCGGGCTTCCCTCTGTAGTGAGGAGCAAAGACTCTATTGGTCCGTCTGACGTTAGAAAAATTTTTATTGGTCAATGCGGACACCAGGAGCGAGCGTTTTTATTGGGCTTAAATTAATCATAAATTGAAAAGAATGCATTTCTTAAAAATAATCAAATACAAATATAAATATATTTAACAATATTTAAGAATCTAAGCAATTTAAGAAAGTTAAGCTCAAAACCTGTTTTTTTCAAAAAAAAAAAAAAAAAATTATATATATATATATATATGTATATGTATATATATATATATAAATAAGTCTTACCTCTGGGTTGAATTACTTTCAAAATACAAAAAATTTTCTTCACAGAAAACTTCTCAGAAACGTTCTTTTGTTTCTATAATATAAAAAACATCCAGTTTGACAATTTAGCTCGTATGAAATATTTTTATATTTATTCAATCTCCTCCATTCATTTCCACTTTTCTAGTTTTATATATAAAACTAGAAAAGTGGAAAAAATATTTAAGTGACTTTTATATATATTTATAGAGGTTAAATATTAGCATAATAATTCATCCATTCATCGTTTATGCCGTTATTCATCCTTATAAACATATGGGGGTTATTTGAACTTTATTTCTTAACTGAAATATTTAATTATCCGTTTCATTATTTATGCATATTTTAATTCAATCAGATTATGCCATTTTTATTATCTGCATTGATTTTTCTTTTCTGAGATTTTTTTTGTAATTTTCTGCACTTTTATTTATTAATTTAAAGTGTTTCTATTTTTCCAGTTAAAGTCTGTTAATGGCGGTGGGTTTATAGTTTATTGCCCTTCTGACTTTTAAAGCTTTTAAATCGGAAAAATAAAATTAACTTACCTGTGACTTGGTGACAGAACAGTAATAAAAGTCTTTATCAGGCGCAGGAGCGGGAACCTCAAACAGCGACGCCATGTTGGGCGTTGCCATGGAAACGTCCGTTGAGACCACTGATCTCTGTTTATTCCCTGGACTGCTAATTGCTTTTTCGGGTTGATGAATTTATCTCTATTTTAAAAGTCTTCAGTCCCTGAAAATGAGAACATCATCGTTGCTCGATGCTGTAGCGCACCGATTGTTTACATAACCAGGGAGTACCAATATGGCGGCTGGTGGCTTCACTTCAACCCCGTACTGTCAACGGACAATCAGCAATCCAGGGAATAAACAGAGATCAGTGGATGATACAAGTTAACTCTGCTTTAAAATGACTTAAAGCCAAACAGTGTAGTTAAAAAATCTTTTAATTTATTTTTACATATATTTATATTTATATACACATTTACTACCTATTCTTGTAAAAACAAGTTTGGAATAGAAGTGAAAGCCAAGTTATCCAGTCGGGCGATCCAGTGATGTTTAGAGTCCCTGAAAGCTTCTTTTCCTCCTTAATCCTCAAAATAGGTCGCGTGATGCGAAGCTGCAGAAACTAACGATGCAAACTCAAAGAGAGGACAGTGAACGCAGCACTGTCCTCAGACTGAAAGAGAGGACAGTGAACGCAGCACTGATCCACCGACACAGAGAGGACAGTGAATGCAGCACTGATCCTCAGACTCAAAGAGAGGACAGTGAACGCAGCACTGTCCTCAGACTCAAAGAGAGGACAGCGAACGCAGCACTGATCCTCAGACTCAAAGAGAGGACAGTGAACGCAGCACTGATCCTCAGTCTCAAAGAGAGGACAGTGAACGCAGCACTGATCCTCAGTCTCAAAGAGAGGACAGCGAACGCAGCACTGATCCTCAGACTCAAAGAGAGGACAGTGAACGCAGCACTGATCCACCGGCACAGAGAGGACAGTGAACGCAGCACTGATCCACCGGCACAGAGAGGACAGTGAACGCAGCACTGATCCTCAGACTGAAAAAGAGGACAGTGAACGCAGCACTGATCCACCGACACAGGGAGGACAGTGAACGCAGCGCTGATCCTCAGACTGAAAGAGAGGACAGTGAACGCAGCGCTGTTCCTCAGACTGAAAGAGAGGACAGTGAATGCAGCATTTTGTCTCTGGGATGGTTAGTTTTAAAAGCAGAGGATGAAGCATCCTGCGGGACGTTGACTCCATGCGGTCTGAGGTAGCCCAAACTGGATCCCTCCCAGTAACAGTCTCTTTCTGTCAGTTTTATTCATAGAATATAGTGAATATCTGAATTATGCTACCCTGACAATCGAAGTTACAGGATCATACTTACCAACTTTAACCAGTTTAGGTAACAAGAAACAAAGAAGTTCTACCCAACAGCAAAGCTTAACTTGGTTCACCTCCATTTGTGCTCTAAGAGCTTCGTCTGCTCCTTTACCTGCAGGTCAAACACCGACTCTGCTTCGCCATCTAACGGTGTCAGCGTTGCCTCCTGCTACGGATGCTGGGAAAGAGCCAAAGTGGTACAAAAACTCTTCCTGCTGCCTGGAACCAACAGCAATGCCCCTTCCCCACTAGTTGCTGCACAGGAACACAAAGTGAGTACACACCTAAACTAAACATGGATTTACCATTTTTAGTTTTTGTAGAATAAATGCGTTTATAATCAAAACCCTCCTAATGACTAAAATGACCAATATGTAGCAGCGATGGCAACGACACCAGTGTAAATAGAGCAAAGCCGTAGTATCTGAACAAACCGCCGGTGTTCTGTTAGATCAGCACACCCGGTCAGACCAGCACGCCCTTAAGCCGGGGATACCCTGCGCCATTTTTTCAATCAATTCACGCAGCTACAGCTCGCCATGTTTGTTCTGTGCGACCCGACGCTCTGATGCGATCTACCTGCTCACTGTACGTCTAAAAACCAGGTGGGACTCAGCTCCGCGGTGAGATGGAGCTACTGGGACTCGTCTATCTGGAAGCCAAACCAGTAGCAGAGGAACATGAAGCTCACTAGAGTGAAACGCGCTGCCTTGGATATTTGGGCAATTTAGTGCTGAAAGCCCTAAAAAGAAAAGGAGACGACATATTTGGACAAAGACATGGCTGAGCTAACATGGTTACTACGGTCTGACAGTTTGACAGAAAGAACTCCATTTCACTCATTGCCCCCCCGCCATGATGCTGGGTTTACAGCAGAGAGGAAGAAGAAGAAGAATCCTCGTTCGCGCACTGAGCGATTTATCTACAACCACCTTACGACGGCCGACTGAGTTTTAAACATGTTTGATTTTCTCCGACCTTCTGATTCCTGATGGGGGGGTGATCGTTAGCGGCTGATCGCCTCGTTAGCCCCTGTTCACTACACCACGCACCATCAGGCTGAAAGTCGACATGATCAAAAAATTCTTGAACAACTGGAGAAACGTCCCAAAAAGGCCAAAAAAAAATCATAAAGTTTACGCCCGACTTTAGTAATACCCGTGCGCGCTTGATCGTTATTAGCGGTTATCGGTCCCATTGAATTGCTTTAGATTAGCTGTTATCATTGAGTGAATCCCAATCTTAACACTAAAGTCATTCTTTTTCCCCCTCAGAATTAATTTATGTGTAATCTGAAAATAATTTCACTGTGCTGTAAAAATAAATCAAATAAAGATAAAATTATCTGCATGTCGCTCGTATTAAACTACAAAAAAAAAAAAGTATCCTGTCAACTGAGTTGTAGAATCCTCTCCCTATAAATATTTAATTTTCTGTGAAAGAATCCCGATTATTCTTTAAATAGATCCTCATCGAACGGACAAAAAAAACGACAAAAATCTGTGTAAATCAGAATATAAAACAGCGCGATGGGCTGTAAGGAGAGCGGAGACAGAGGCTATGTAATGCGTATTAATAAGGGTATGCTGGCCTGATGCGGTATGCTGAGCTGACAGAACCACACTCTGACACCAAGCCCCCGCCTACAGGGCTGGTTATCGTCCCCCAGCAGTGCGTCGCAGGTATGACGCAGACATTTTTGATTTCTGCTCAACATTGAAGCGCGGTCTGCGCTACGTTATTCCACGCCACAACGCCAGAGGGCCAATCAGGAACTAGCTGTGGGTCTAGATGCGGCCGAGGCGGTGAGGAAGTGGGGGAAAGTTTGTGCAACAATGGAGGGACATGAGGGCCAAAAAGAGTGGGGATCCAGGTGGGAAAAGGGTCCCAGCGTTCTCGCGCACCTCGCTCTGCTAGCTGCTGCATCTTCACCAGTCGTTTTCCAAAATGGCGGTCAGACAAACAAAACAAACCAGTAAGGAACCAAACAGGAAATACGCATCGAGTAGAGCGGATGTAGATCTGACCAATCAGAGGCCTCCGTTTGCGGTCACCTACAATTTTGTAGAGGTGCAGCAGAGTGTCTGCATAAGGGGCGGGGCATATCTGCGTTAACTGGGAGGCAGACGAACTGGTTTCTGAGTATAAACCTGAGGAAGAGGATTAAAATTAAAAAAGTTAACAGATTTTTGAATTTTATTTCATTATGAGGAAAAAAGTCAGAATTCTGACTTTAATCTCAGAATAACGACTTAATTCTGACAGCTAACAACCATGTTAGGATCAAGCCGTAGCCTAGAGATTAAACTGTCATTTTCCACCAATGTGTTCCTGTTTCTCCCAAACTACTCACATCTTTATCAGTGAAGCTGAGAGCTCCACATCTCTGCCAAGTCTGAATTCTGAGAAAAAAGTCAGAATTCTGATTTTTTTTCACCATATTAAACAGAAATATTTAAAAAGCAGTTAACTTTATTTTTTTTAATGTCCCTAATCCTCTTCCGTATAACCCAGCCTTAACTGATGGTTGTTTTTATGAACATTGGCCATGTTATATTTTATTTCTAAAGAAAACGCCGTCGTGTTTCAGGAACCACAGTAACGGAAATGTCGAACTTAGAGCCGATCTAAAGATCTTAAATGAAAGAAAGAAATCCCTTCTGAAAAAAGGCTGCCTCATCTACTAACCATAGATCTGGATGGGACCCTGTTAAAATGTAAACTCTTAGCTATCTATTGGTCTAGGGACGTTTTTTTCCCTTTTCATTGTTTTTTTTTTACTTTTTAAAACACAAGGTTTGTGAAAACGCCTCCTTGTTAGTTCAGTCCTTATACATTATATGTACTTGTTTGCGATTACAAATAGTGATATGAACAAAGCTTACAGTTATAACAAAAAAAGTGAAATAAAAAGCAGATAATATCAGAATATAGTTTAGACAGTATGCCCCCCCCCCCCCCCCCCCCTCCATCCTGTCCCTTAGTCCTCAATATATTCCTTTATACTCCTTCATAGTGTTGTAAACTTCTTTCATGGAGAAAATAGAAGCCATTTTAAAAAAAAGAAATGTAATGCTACTAATCACGTGACGGAACAGGTGCGTTTGAGTGTTTGCTGCATGCTGCCCCCTGGTGGCTAGGGCTGTGCTACAGGAAAGGGTTGGTGGATGAACCTCCAGTGGGGAAGGGTCCAGCTGGGGCTCCTGTCTGGAATAAAGGAAAGTCTAAAGATTAGAATCCACAATTAAACAGGAAATAAACACATGGACATAACTGTTGGTCTAATAAAAGAAAAACCCACAAAGGTCACAGAAGTATTCATTTAAAACATACTGTGAAAATGAACAGGAGAGAGTTGGATGATTCTTTTCCATCATGCTTCAACAGAATGATCTTATAACCATTTCATAGAGTTCAGTGATCACTGCAGTGTACAGCTGTTTAAAACTATATATGTGACCCTGCCTATGAAAACCCAGCTAAAGTCATTTTTTGGTGAATCTCAACTTAATGTATAAAACCATTCTACACAATGTTAAGAATGTATTCTGAAAAATTCAGATTGATATCTTTAAAATTCACAGAGTAGGGCCATATCAAAGATTGTGCTGCATACGGGTTCAGAAAAACTGACTTTTGAGAAATTCCAATGTAAAGATTTGGAACTCAAAATTCTAAACTAAAAATACTTTCAACACTGATACATCTTGGAATCACAATTATCCTGGCAGTGTGTCATACACCAAATTCAAGTTTAGATTCTGCTTTTTAAAGTAATATCCAACAGATGTATATAAAAATGTTCATGTTTAATAAAAATGGATCTATTTAGTATGATGATCATGGCGAAAAAGCATACAAATTACACTGAATGAATGTCTAGGTGGTACCAGATGAAGCTGATTATGTAAGCAGTTGCATAACACAATACCATGATGTTACTATCAGATCATGTAGTCATGTTATTTCATTATTATTATTATTATTAGTAGTAGTAGTTGTCAAGTGATTTGATCTTTGCTGTGCTATTCCCACACTTGAAGGGTTGTATTAAGCTGAACATTAAACTGGATTCCACTCAATGACCAAACTGTTGTTTCATTTTTCCCTTTTTTATTCTTCTTCTTGTGTTGTTTACAGGTTTACAGAATCATTTAATTAAGCAGGTGAAAAACCTTTGAAAGAAATGAAACCAAACAAAGCATTTACCATATAGCAAATTGTAATAGTTCTGAGAAATGCAACATTAAATATATTTATGAAAATAGACTATGTTTTTAACTTTAAATTAAGACCATTTAGTTTTTAATTATCATAAAAAATGCATCAAAAAACGTATTAACGCATTTTAACCGAAGCAGATTTATGGAGGTTATTTAACTCCATAGATTACATGAATTCTTAAATAGCAATAATAAATAACCAGTGAGTGATTTTTAGTTTGTTTTAAATATGCATAACATAGACTATGAAATTTCATTTTAACTGTTAGAAGTCTATTTTAATCACACACAGAAGAAAGATGCAAAAATTACCCCGTGCAACAGTTTCACAAACACATTAATTTGGATTGTTCAACCGCAATGTTAAATCACTGAAAAAAAAAGTTACACCAGCATCTTTTCCAACCAAATAAAGCAAGCAAGCAAGACTTACAAGCCAAAATTTTCATGACGTACCGTGTGAGTATTTATAAGCTTAAAACTACAAACAAACATTTCCCGCACGTCTCAACGCCTCATCAGCGCGGCGCATACATTCTTTTCACAACAGAAATGCAAGCTTACCGGCTGTCTGTTCAGTCCTTTGCTTCCTTAATACACATTTTGCACAGCTTCTTCCACTGCCCGAGTAAACAGGGGCTTTTTATTTTCATGCTGCGATCCTCTGCTTGAACTAGGAAGTTTGTCTCACCTTTTGATTGACTGATTGATTGCACACAGGTAAACTGCGCGCTCACGCTTAAACAGCTGATGTAAACAAAAGGGGCGTTCGCCGCAACAGTAGTAGTCGTAGTAGTAGTAGTAGTAGTAGTAATTTAATAGTATCACATAATGTCACTTTGCATTTTGCTCAAGTACAGTACGTAACGTAATGAAGTCAAAACAGCTGGGAAAGTGGCACCGGCTAAAATCGGAAGTTGTTGCTTCCTCTTCATGAAACATCGTAACAGATGCGCATTGATCTCAAAGTTTGTACACTTTTTAATGATAGAAAACACAAGTCTTTCGATAGAAATGCAGTGCCTAAACCAAACCACACCCGATTTAACCGTTGTTTGTACACATAAAATAATCCCAAAGATCATAGAAAAAGCAGCGCGAATGCATCAAACTTCCGGAAATTTTTAGCAAAAACAGCACGATGTAAGGTTTATAAAATCACAAAATATGCTATTTATCATGTTAGAAATTGACTTTTAAACAAGCCATCCATAAACCTCAGTACTTAATCTATCATTTACAGCAATAATCTCATATAGCACAATTTTGACATTTTTATCGATATGACAGCTTTGACGACCTTTATTGAATATTTAGACGTTGCGACTTTAGCCGGGTTCTCATGGGCGGGGTCACATATATTCCTGCAGTTCTGGGCACTGATGCAATCTAGTGGAAGCTATTGCATCATCCCATACAGATGAATTCAATTTATTGATCATTGCACTGAAAAAAAAAGGACAGGAAGGAAAAAGACCAAACACTTTGGGTATTTTGGTTTCTACAGAGGAGCAGAGGATCCACTATTCCAACAGAATAACAAATTACAACTGGGAAACTAAATTACAACCATATCTATGCAGCTACTTTGTTGCTATCAGTGGCAGCTGGCCAATAGAGGGCGCTACAGTGCCATCCCACCCAATGACCCTGATTAACCCCCAGATTCCACATCCTCCGTCAGCGCTCTGCCCCGCTCATATATGTCGTGCGGAATACTTGTCTATCATCTTAACCAATGAGAGCTGTTCCACATCATCACTACTCCTCCGCACGTCACTGTCAAAATACGGAGCTGAGCTTTTTTTTGCTCCGATCCGATGGAAGCCGTGGATGGGAGGAACAGCTGAGGCTGTAGGCTTTGTTAGCCCGTCTGCGGCGACCAGGGCTAACGTTAGCCCGTCTGCAGCGACCGGGGCTGACGTCAGCCCGTCTGCAGCAGCCGGGGCGGGGCTAACGTCAGCCCGTCTGCAGCGACCAGGGCTAACGTTAGCCCGTCTGCAGCGACCGGGGCTAACGTCAGCCCGTCTGCAGCGACCGGGGCTGACGTCAGCCCGTCTGCAGCGACCGGGGCTGACGTCAGCCCGTCTGCAGCGACCGGGGCTGACGTCAGCCCGTCTGCAGCGACCGGGGCTGACGTCAGCCCGTCTGCAGCGACCGGGGCTGACGTCAGCCCGTCTGCAGCAGCCGGGGCGGGGCTAACGTCAGCCCGTCTGCAGCGACCAGGGCTAACGTTAATCCGTCTGCAGCGACCAGGGCTAACGTTAGCCCGTCTGCAGCGACCAGGGCTAACGTTAGCCCGTCTGCAGCGACCAGGGCTAACGTTAATCCGTCTGCAGCGACCAGGGCTAACGTTAATCCGTCTGCAGCGACCAGGGCTAACGTTAATCCGTCTGCAGCGACCAGGGCTAACGTCAGCCCGTCTGCAGCGACCAGGGCTAACGTTAATCCGTCTGCAGCGACCAGGGCTAACGTTAGCCCGTCTGCAGCGACCAGGGCTAACGTTAGCCCGTCTGCAGCGACCAGGGCTAACGTTAATCCGTCTGCAGCGACCAGGGCTAACGTTAATCCGTCTGCAGCGACCAGGGCTAACGTCAGCCCGTCTGCAGCGACCAGGGCTAACGTTAGCCCGTCTGCAGCGACCAGGGCTAACGTCAGCCCGTCTGCAGCGACCAGGGCTAACGTTAATCCGTCTGCAGCGACCAGGGCTAACGTTAGCCCGTCTGCGGCGACCAGGGCTAACGTTAGCCCGTCTGCAGCGACCAGGGCTAACGTTAGCCCGTCTGCAGCGACCAGGGCTAACGTCAGCCCGTCTGCAGCGACCAGGGCTAACGTTAATCCGTCTGCAGCGACCAGGGCTAACGTTAGCCCGTCTGCAGCGACCAGGGCTAACGTTAGCCCGTCTGCAGCGACCAGGGCTAACGTCAGCCCGTCTGCAGCGACCAGGGCTAACGTTAGCCCGTCTGCAGCGACCAGGTCTAAGCTTATAATTATCCCTGGTCGCTGCAGACGAGCTAAGGTTAGCCCATCTGTAGATAGATGAACATTCTCTCTCTGCATAGCTGTAGTAGAAGTACCGCTGGCTCTGATGCAGATACCTTTGTTTCATTTTGCAAAATGTTAATTTCATTTGTGTTTATCCAACTGTGTTCATTATTATTCCCCCAATGAATAAAAAAGTCATAATTTATTATTATCTAGAGACGATTAATAACAGGAGATGAAATGCAGCTCCAGACTAGCTTTGAATGTGGTGATGTCATCAGTACGCTGCTGTTCCGGTTGATCCAGATTTATTCTGTGTCCCGTTCTCACCAGGTATAGACTTTCCTGGGTTCTAGTCAAGAACAGACTTGGCGAGAAAACGAGTCCTTACTGACGTTCTAGTGAACTGAGAAATGGCCTTATGCTTGATTTTGGTGAATAAGCCTACGTACCGTAGAAAGAAAAATTTGCTTCATTTTTACTTCTTCATGGGGAAAAAAAGATCTTATGTGGACTATTACGAGACGTGGTTTCATTTAATGGGAAATTCGACTGCATGTTAGTTTTCTGTAAAGTGTTACAGACAAAATCAGGCGATTTGTGCCAGAACAGAAGGTGTTCAGGAATATAGGAAGACGAAAACAAGAAGAAAACGATTATTTGTTATCGGTGTTTGTAGAGTATAGTTAGCTTCAGTTGATTGTAGTTTCTTTAGGATCGCCTGATTGGATTTAGTTAACAAAAACGTTTTCGATCAGAAGTGGAACAAAATGTGACGATAAAACCAGGGCTGTGGGTAACGGTTATTTTCCAAATCGATTAATCTGTCGAATATTTTTTTCCGATTAATTGATTAATAGTTGGATAGCCAAAAATTCCTTAAAGTAGACTTTCTATGAAATAAAAAAAAAGCATATTTACGGATAAAAACGTTTTTTTTTTTTATCTTAAATGCATTTTTTTTTTACAATCTTGTTATAATTACTGCTCTAAGTGTTTCGCTCTGTCAGCTAAAGGCATGTCTCTATACTCCAGTTAAGAATTAATCGATTACTAAATTAGTTGGCGGTTATTTATATAATTGATTAACCAGGATTAATTAAGTCCGAGTCGAGGCGTCCCAGGTCTGGGCGGTAGGAGCTAAGGGGTTAACAGTCAAAGGAAAACTAGGGAAGCATGAGACTGTTGATGCTCACCATAAATGGGTTATTGGACACGCTGGGCACAGCCATTTGCTGCCCGAAGGGCGTAACGGAGGGCTTGTTCTGAGCGTAGACCGGGAAGGCGGGCCCTGCAGGAGGAAAGAGGGGAAGGAGTTTGGCTTCACTTCACAGATAAACAGGATTTCTACCATTTCAACCACAACGCAGAGGGAAAACAAAGAGTAAAACCCCAGCATGTTAGGTTGCATTTAGGTGTGAAAAAAACCTTCACACACTGGAAAAAAAAAAATCTAAATCTAGATAAGTCATTTTTTTTCTTAAAATAAGTGCATTTGTTCTTGGATTGAGGAGGTAAAACAGCCAATGGAACAAGATAATTTACATTTAAAATAAGAAAACATAAATACATTGTTTTATTTCAAGTGCATTTTATCTATCTCTCTTTTAAGAATAAAAATCCTCATTCCATTGGCAAACTCTCATTTACCTGCTCAATTAATGGTAAATACAATTAATTTAATACATTTTTACTATTCTTTCTAGATCGTTGTTCCAGTGCAGTCTTAGTTTTTCTGATTGGTCCAACTTGGCGCCCTGAATGCAACCTTTAACCCCTTGATGCCTGAATTTATATACATGTGTTTTAAAAAAAAACTCAGTTTCCTCTAACTAGTTGCCAAATTTACATTTTTTTTAATTTCCTATGTATTTTACAGATAAATAGAAATTTATGTATATCACAAAAAAAAATGTATATGATCATTTATAGCTTTCAATGCTATATTACTTTAAGGATCAGTAGAAATGAAAACAAGAGTTAACCAAAGCTTCCACAGAGAATGTGTAATAACAGACATTGGGGGAATCCATAAACTATTTTAATAAAAGGTTTGTTGCACTTTTGCACAACGGCTGGCAAGGGGTTAATAACTGTCCAGCATCTGCCAAGAAAACGGGATCAGAAAGGATGGAGGGGGCGGGGCACTAACCATTGGACTGAGGGTGATAGGCTCCAGGCTGAGAGTAGGGAATGGGGGCCTGGCCGGGGAATTGCTGCTGGAAGTTTCCGCTGAAACTGGTCGGGAGGCAGTAGGAAGAGGCGTTCCCAAAGCCGGAAGGCATGCTCATAGAGCCGGTACCGAACGAGGCTACAGGACGAAGCAACAGTACACACACACACACGCAGATACTTGAGATACTTAGCATAGCACTAGCCTACTGGTTCAATGTAACACAGTTACATCAATATTAAACTAGTCACTGGTCAGAAACAAATTATTTTTCCCACATTTTGAAAGTTCTCACCTGCAGCTGGACCTCTGCTGTTGGTCTGGAAGGGGTTGGACGCCATGTCAGGGGCTATTGCTGCAGCAACAAAAGGATTTGTGGATGGAACTGCTAAGACAAAACAGAAAGTCAGTGAGTAGCTGATAGACGGACTTCAGCTCAGTAACTGGAACACTGACGGTCACCTCCAAAGCCAGGCTGCATGTTGGCCATCACAGGTTGGCTCTGAGCGGGCGAAGAACTGAGGACGGGTCCGAAAACCGCCCTGAAGGAAAACAAAACCAGATCCATGATCAGCACTCAGACGATTCATCTGTTCTACTGGAATCGGTTCTGATCAAGCAACACAAAGAATTTTGTTAAGCTACGTTCCAAACTGCAGGCCTTGATGCTCAATTACGATTTTTTTGGGGGGAAATACGATTATTTTCGGCGGTTGCTCACATTTCCAAATAAATGTGACTTGCAAGTGATATCCTGTTTGAATGCATTCACACAACTTAAGTTTCCCGTATGAGCAGTAGAGGACGCAACGACGTTGTTTACGCAAGTAAACATGGATGGTAGTGCTGGAGAGCATCCTTCATTTCGTTCCCAACCTCAGCCGCCATTAAAGGAAAAGTCGCTCATATTCAGGATTCAAACTTCTGAAAGTTCTTTAAATCTGAAATGATTCCATCCTGTTCAATAAATGATCAGTGTTTTTAATTCAGAGTAATTTTCATGTGAATGTGCTTTACTGGAGGCATCCATGTTTGTCAAAGAACACTACTGCCACCTACTGGTTAGTGACATTGTCACGGTGCGGTATCGGCTGTTGATCAAGTCCCAGTGCTGTATCTGGTGTTTGTCACAACGCGCTATTATCCAAGTCATCTTGAAATCATTCTTCTTCCAAATGTTGGCTACATATTACGGGTTTTTTCTCTGGCCAGAAGTTCGATGGCAAATCCTCCCTCTTCAAGTTGGCGATCCAACGACCAACCCGTCCGTGGAGGATCAGGAATCAGAAAGGTGGAATAACTCTTTTTTTTCACTTTTACCCGATGTATTCCAGCATCCAGCTGCCATGCACGTGGGCATTGTCAGTTTCACTATAGCTCTGGTGAATTTCAATGGTGAAGTCCTCTGGAAATCCTTAATAAGAATGGTGCTAGGCTTACCGCACCGTGACGTCGCTGCCAGAAGATGGCAGCAGGGAGGTGTTACTATATTTGGGCGAAAATGGCCGCTCCCAGGCGATGAAAATTATTGTTCGCATTTTTTTACTTATTAACGCTAAATTCATTAAATCACTGCAATCTTCAGGGTTCGTACACCTTTTCCAAAGTCAAAATCAAGCACTTTTCAAGCACTTTCAAGATCCGTTTTAAAACTTTTTCCAGCAGCCGCCTCGCCAAGATAGCAATACTAACATTACATTATCACACCGTACTCTCAGTCACTCAGTAACTTAGCCTGTGAATTCCTAGCTAGCAGTTGCTAGCGTAAACAAAGTAGTGGTTTCATGGGGGCGGAGTCACACATGGAAATAGACTGGCAGATCGCAGTCACACATAAGCGAGCAGGTTTCATTTTCAGGCTCCCCAACATTTTATTTCTCCATTTAATAAACACACGATTCAGTTAGATAGGGATTTGTTGCGAAAGAAATAGTTACAATTTCAAGCAGTTCATCCAAAATATAAGCAGTTTTCAAACCTTGAAAACACAACGTCAAAATTCAAGCATTTTTAAGGATTTCCAGCACCCGTACGAACCCTGTATCTTATTAATCTTAGGTATAAATAATGATCCATTGATTATTCCTCGCTGACCGGACTTTTCCTTTAAACAAATGAAGTTTTTGAGAAAAACTTTGTTTTCGCAGATTCTGTTATTTTAAAATTTGTAGTTTTTTTTTTTTTTTCTTCTTCTTCTTTAGGCTGAGTCTAATTCAATTCACAGAGGTGGCTAACTGGTTAGCAACATGCTTCAGACAAACCGGCCACAACCAAATTTGCTTGCGAACCTTCTACCACAACAATCCCACCCCCTTGATAATCGACCAATCACATTCACTTTATTCTATAAATTCTATATATATAGTCGGGCACCATTCGGTAGAATTGGGAAATGCAACGTTTGGAACAGCCGCTTCCCTTTATGTAACATCAGAAAACGGGGTTCAGGAATCGTTTTGGAAGAAGTAGTAGAAGGTTTTGCGGGCTTTCTGGTGTCTCACCCTGGCACGCTGCTGTTGGCTGTGGTGGCGGAGGAGCTCAGCTCGTTGTCTAACTCGGCCAGCGCGGCGTAGCGGTCCTCTGTGCACTTTGCATTCTGCGACTGAGCTGGAACGGCACTGGACACGGAGGGAATCGGCACACCTCCACCTGCGAGCAAACATCAATGACCATTAGGAGAAAAAGCTGCTAAGTTTCCCCTCATTTCTAACTTGCAGGATGCCTCGGTATGGAGATAACTCACAAACACAAAACATGAAGGAAAAACAGAAGAAAAGGTTCGAAGCGGGCAGCAGGATAAAGGCCAGAACACACCGAACCCGATTTATCCTCTGATCCGACAGAAAATCTTGTCTTAAAGGTGGTGGCGTTTAGCGCTGATGAAAAGTCAATGCGGAGGATTTCCTGCAGGGGGCAGTGTAGCTCCAACTGAGATAGAGCCCAGGTCTATTTTAGTCGGACTACGCAGCAATTCAGCAGCAATTTCATGGGTCTGACAGGAAGAGAGACGCAAAGTGAAACACATCCGCTTTGGAGGAAAATACTAAATAAAATCTGTTGATCTCACGGAGAAAGAGTCGGTTTGGAGTCACACGCCGCGTTTATAGTGAGCAGGACTGACTGGAGCAAAAACAATGAATGAAACATTAAAATAGAAAACTTTCCCCATGATGGGAGTTCAGGAGGACAGAAACAGATAAAGTAGTGATCCTCATTGAGCCTCACACAAACCAGTTTATTGCTGCTTTTCTTATCTTTAGACGTAGATCTCATTATGTTTTTAATAGATGAACATTCTGTTCTGGTTTGAGACTCGTTAAGTAGAACTTTGCTTTATAGAATGAAAAGATGTTTTATTTATTTTTCAATAACTTTTCATGATTTGTCCCAGTCAGATGTGGGAAATTAGCCGGTTGATAACTTCAATCTCATCATGGCCTGTGGACGGCGATCATGGACAAATTGAACGAGCTCATCGTACACGTAAGTAATGTCTCAAATGTCAGATTGACTTTCATGCGGCTCCAGCCTCCGATGTTTTCCTTCTGCTGAAATGTCTATCTCGTGTTACATGTGCTTTTCTTTTGCTGCGTTTTTTTTTTTTTTTATCTCAAATTAGGGATGCACGATATAATGGGCCCCCTATCGGTATCGTCCTGAAAACTGAATATCGGACATCGGCCCCCCCCACCGATATTTAACCCGATATTTGATCAGCTTCCGAGTTTCTAAAGTCTAAAAAAAAATTTAAAAAAATATATACTTCTTCTTCTTCCTCAAAAACTTCTTTTTTACAGACTTAAAAACTTCTAAAGACGAGGGAAAAAATATTGATCCATTAAAATATCCCAATATCTTCATATGCTGATATATTGCCATTTAAAAACACCATATCAATCTCTTTTACTAATGAAATATTGCTATATGTCATCGTTATGCTACGAAATCCCCCCAAAATTCACCAAATGTTGCCATATTTTTATATGTTGATATATTGACGCGGTATCGATCTATTTTACTAACAAAATCTCACAAGAATTTGCAAAATATCACGAGAGTTTGTAACAGAACGATGAAATTTCACCAGATTTTGAAAGTAAAATAGATCGATACCGCGTTTTTAAAAATCAATTTGATATCAGCATATGAAAATATATTTGAGTATATTATTTTTCAAAGTGTCAGAAATGGATAACAAAACTGCTATTTTCAATGACTACTTATTTTTGTCCAGCTTTAACATCGGTGTCGATATCGGTTATCGGCTACATGAGTTTTAAAATATCGGATATCGGCCAAAATCCAATATCGTGCATCCCTATCTCAAACCTCATCCTGTCAAGGATAAAGTGTGAAATATGCTTCCCCCCCCCAATGTGGCGGGATATAAGGGAACAGCCTACGGGTTGGAGCCACAAGAACACGCCAAAGGCAGCGTTCTTGTGGCTCGCATGGCCTCAGTAAACCGTTGCCCCTCTCAGCCCCCACCCCAATGTATGTGACGAACGGTTTGTACTGAAACTGAAATCTTGATCACAGTGTAAATTGTAGTTGACAAAGAAATTGATTGATTGACAGCACAGAAACAGAAGTGAAAAATAATCTGCTCATCCTGCCTAGCCGGAGTCGCAGTCAGTGTCACATGGAAAAAAAAAATCGCACGCAGCCGGTGTGTTCAGGCCTTTACGGCGATGAGGATGAGGATGGTACCTGATGATGGGGGTGATGTGCTCAGATGGGATGAAATTGTAGTGTTTCCAAATGCGTTGAAGTTGGCAAAGTTGGTGTTTGAGTTACCCTGAGGTGCTGCAGCCGCAACATGGGGAGAAACCATAAGATGGGAAAACGTGCAAATGAAAAAAAACAAAAAAAAAACTGTGAAGGTGGGGAGGGGGGGGGGGGGCTCATTCGAACACAAGCTTACCTGACTGGCTTGGAAAATGTGCAAAATTGGCAAAGTTGGTGTGGGGGGCAGCCTGAGTTGGAGGAGCGGCAAAAATGTCCCCCCCCAGGTCTGAGAGCAGGTTGAACTTCTTCTCCTGGGCGGCGCTGTGATGCTGGGAGCGTCTGATCCCCGGAGACTGAAACATGGAGACTGAGGAGGTGAGGAGGCGTCTGCTGGTGGGCGGGACCTCCACCCTCAGCGTGTTCCTACCTACCTGCCGCAGCGGCGTTTTGTTAAGCTGCAGGGTTTTCAGGGGCTGGACCTCCGGGGTGCTGCCGGTGCTGCTCGCCGAGGAGCCGGACACGGAGGCCTGGGCGCTCGCCACGGCCCGCGCCTGGTCCGGGGGAACGTACCTGAGCGTTCAGCGTCAGGAGAGACCGCTTTAGTCTTAAGACTTTTTAAATTTGATTCCAGCACCTCGTTAAAACCACCAACCAAACCGAAAGCTTGTTTTCTCTTTTATAATGAATCCTTCTAATTTATGGAGTGAATTTTGTTCCATTATTTTTGCAAGCATGTTTTGTAACTAAAATAAAAGAAAACAATTAACTTTTAAAAACCTTGAATAAAAAAGCGGTTAATGGCTTTTAATAACTATTATAAATAACTTTTGTTTTTTCAAAATCTTGCATTTTAAATTTTATTGTTCATATTTAATCTTTTTATTTTTCTATACATTATATATTTTAAATTATTTATTTTTCTAATTTTATAACTTTATCACCCCCAAAAATTGAGAAAAACGTAAAATCTGAATAAATAAAATTTGAAAACAATCTTTTGAAAAAAGCAACATCTCAGAAAACACCAAGGCTACTCTGAAAACCTTTTGTATCTATGCTTCTTTTTCTATGTCTGCTTCTGTCTCCTTGAACCCCAGTGGGCCTCAGCAGATGGCCGCTCACACTGAGCCTGGTTCTGCTGGAGGTTTCTTCCTGTTCAAAGGGAGTTTTTCCTCTCCACTGTCGCTACAAGCATGCTTAGTGTGAGGGATTGCTGAAGAGTCAATGAGTCGATGCAATCAGCTTGTTTTCCTTAGATAGAAAACTTTGAATCAATCTGACTGGATGATCTGGTGAACTGGAAAGTGACCTGAGATGACATGATGTGAATTGGAGCTATAGAAATAAACTGAATAGAATTTTAAATTTAATTTCTGGGTTGCTTTTTTAATTTACATTTGCAAAATGCGTTCTTTGCAACCATAATGGAATAAAATCTACCCAAAAGTCTTCTTTCAAATGTAGAGATTTCATTTCTAAATGTTTTGCTTTATTTATATATATAAATAAAAACCATACACGTGGACAAAGCAGAGATGATCTGCTGTTACACTGAAACTATGGTTGAAGATTTGGCAAAACAAGGTAACAATTAGGCCTCAACACTTTCCACACATCCCTGCTGACACTCAGCAGCAGGAGGAGAGTTTAGTGTCGGAGGTCGTGGATGAGTCTCCTCCGTCATCCATTTTTTATTTAGAGGAGGAAAGCGGGGACGAAGATGTTGTGGAAGAGGACGCCAGGGCGGCAGAAGCTTGGTTTGGTGTAGAAGGCTTCCAGCCGTACATGTTTGAGCCCTTGCCTCGCAACGCTGCCAGTTCTGTTAGCTCTACGCCTGCCGAAGACACAGACGTCCATCCCCGTGAACACTGGGACGCAACTCAATGGGAAAGGAAAGGATTCTGGTTTCAACCGTTGCGTATATTAGCTGCGACATATTGTTAGGTTTATTCTTTTATGCATCATGTGCATTGTTACTTTATTAGCCAGATAGAGAGAGTAGAAGGCCTTCCTTCACATGGTGGATGTCACTGTGTGTATGGAGGTCATCTTAATAGGACAGCTTTCTTGTCTTTTAAAGATACACAGGATATGGGAACATCTTGGAGCCGGACTGATAAAGGAGAGCTATCTGTAATCCTTGGGTATGGATGGCGTGTAAGTTTCTGATACGGACAGCTAAACATCCACCTGGTGCAACACATAGACTCATGAGCTATAAGAAGCAGAAGATGAGCTTGTTCGGGGCTCAATCTTTGCCGGACGCTTGCGGACGTGATTTTTTTCTCTGTCCTGTAACGACCTGATCTGGAATAAACTCTGTTACTTTTTTACTCCTGTTTTTATAGTCCTTTTTTATATGGTTTTACCCAGTTTAAGTTAAGAGTAGTAAGCAACTTGCTCCCAGGAAAAGAACCGGAAGGGAAGTCCTGAGGCGCAATGCCTTCAAGGGGACCTAACCTCCTCATTTAACACTATGAAGCAAGATACTATGACCGAGAAAAATTGATTGACAGATGACCGTTGATATATGATTGGCTGAATTTCGGTGTTCAGGCTGACGTAGAACTAACTGGCCTGCAGAAGATAACGAGAAAGAAACAGATTTTAATGCACGATTTTTTTTTTTTTAAATAGAAATTTTCTAAATTTTGGGACAATATTATCTGATAAAGAATACAGTTATTATACACGTTTAAGCCAGAATGATTTGACATTTAAATATGATTTCTCTACGACTTTAAGTAGAAATGTCGGCTATCTATACTTTACTGGAGCAAATAATCTTTTGACAACTTTTTCCTTCTCCTCACATTTTAAAAATAGACTCAGTTTAGTTTCATTTAATTTCTTTACTCACCACATTCCAAAATAAAGAGTTTTTCCAGATGATGCAAAGTTAAATGAGATGCTGTTACCATTAGTTATAAATATAAGAAAACTAATTCTAAGGAAGTTTTCATCCAGAATTGTAGAAAAATGTTCTTTTAATAGAGTAGAGCAGTAAAGCTTCTGGCTTTAACAGTTTTTCCTGCATTACTTTTACTTTCATACTTTAAGTCGTTTTAAAAATGATACTTTTACACTTTTACTGGAGTAAAAAGCTGAAGTTTATCCTCTAACTTCTATAAAAGTGTTTCTAAACAGCAGGATTTATACTGGAGGAATAAACAATACGTTTCTTATGATGAGTGCATTTGCAAATAATCTGATGAGAAAAACAAGCTGATCGGCCAACTGGGTATTTTTGAACTTGAAAATGATTAGATATTATACATTTAAAAATAGATAATGGTTGTTTTTTCGCACTTTAAACATAAATCATCTTACAGTCATATGAAAAAGCCACACGAAGCGACTGCTCTTTTTCTGTTAGTCCAATAAACCTCAATTCAATACAGAAATATTACCGTGTCCATCAGTTAGTAGATATATCAAACTGAAATAACTGTTGCAAACACCCAAATATTTAGAAATTAAAATAATTAGGATTAATATGGTGCCCAAACTTTTTCATATGGGAAAATGTTCAGAGGATTTTTTTTGCAGTGTGGATAGGTTGACTAAACACGTGCACCGTTTGCTTTTCAGAATCTTGTTTCAAAAACAAAAGAAAATCTGAATCTGTTTAAATGCGGAGTTACCATCTTTTCTTCTCGTATTTTTCCTGAAGGAACTCTTTTACTTTTTGCGGTTCTCGGAAATCCGGAACGACCGATGTCCTGTCGTCATAAAGGCCCAGCCAGATGTGTTTACAGACCTACGGGGAGGAACGGGAGGAGGGAGGGGTTCCAGGTGGGGGTAGAAGGCAGGAGGACAGAGGTGGGGGGGGGGGGGTTAGAAAGTTCAAAGCTAAACCCAGACAGGAAGGTGTCATAAACACAGGCGCTGTACCTCGTTGCCATGTTTCTGTAGGAACTCGATCTCCTGCTGCGTGAAGGTGGTCATAGAGATGGACTTCACTCTGTGTGGGGGGTTCAGTCCTCGCCTGGGGGGGGGGGGGGGAGGGAGGGTCTGGTTAGCTTCAGAACAACAGACTGCAGGCGGAAACAACCGGAACCAGATTCAAACCCCGTCTGAACTCAAAAAAGTTCAGCGTCTCAGGCTGAAAATCACCTTCAATCATTCAACCATCAATGTTCAAAGGGGAAAATGGCCGCCAAACAGCATATGGGGAGAATTCTGTTCCATTATCGTTAAAAGCAAAGAAAACCTTTGGTAAAGGAAAAAAAAAATGGAATTCATGTGACAATTTACGTACTTTTCAATCTGCCTTTTCCAGATCACATTTTCTTATCTCCTGGGATCAGACTTTCCTCTGTAGAGAGGAACGATGACGCGCTTCTATGGGATGCTAGTAGAAGCGAGCGTTTGTATTGGGCCTGAAGTGAAGAGAATGTGATCTGGAAAATGCAATTTGAAAAGAAAGCAAATTGTAAAAGTCAAGCTGAAAAACAGAAATAAAAGAAAAATTTAACTTGGACAAAAAAATTAAAATATGAGAAACAGCTTGAAAAATAAACTCAGAAACAAAAACGCAGCTCATAAAAGCTAATTTTGATTAAGGAAGTTTAACATTTCTATTTCCAAAACACGTTCTTTGCTTGCATCAATAATGGAACAAAAAATGCTCCATAACATTACGTATACGTTCAGACTGCGAGCAGCAGAGGCAGCTGGTTTCCATGCAAAGTCAATGTTGGACATGCATCAAGGCGCAGCATCGTTTTTGCGCGTTTTTGCTGCTGCTTGAGGTCTGAACGTTGCATTTCTGCTAGGGATGCACGATATTGGGATTTTGGCCGATATCCGATATTTTAAAACTCATGTAGCCGATAACCGATATCGATACCGATGTTAAAGCTGGACAAAAATAAGTAGTCATTGAAAATAGCAGTTTTGTTATCCATTTCTGACACTTTGAAAAATAATATACTCAAATATATTTTCATACTCTGATATCAAATAGATTTTTAAAAACGCGGCATCGATCTATTTTACTTTCAGAATCTCCTTTAATTTCATCGTTCTGTTACAAACTCTCGTGATATTTTGCAAATTCTTGTGAGATTTTGTTAGTAAAATAGATCGATACCGCGTCAATATATCAACATATAAAAATATGGCAACATTTCGTGAATTTTCGGGGGATTTCGTAGCATAACGATGACATATAGCAATATTTCATTAGTAAAAGAGATTGATATGGTGTTTTTAAATGGCAATATATCAGCATATGAAGATATTGGGATATTTTAATGGATCAATATTTTTTCCCTCGTCTTTAGAAGTTTTTAAGTCTGTAAAAAAGAAGTTTTAGAGGAAGAAGAAGAAGTAGTTTTTTTTTTTTTTTAGACTTTAGAAACTCAGAAGCTGATCAAATATCGGGTTAAATATCAGTGGGGGGGCCGATGTCCGATATTCAGTTTTAAGGCCGATACCGATAGGGGGCCGATTATATCCTGCATCCCTAGTTGCTGCTATGTTTTCCAGCTAGTTATTTATTTATCCTCAGCTGAAGCTAGGAGTAAAACATTAGAAGAGCTATGATAGGAGTCCCATCAGGCATGGGCGGTTCTAGACAGGGGCCAACAGGGGCCATTGCCCCTGTAGATCATATCCTGGCCACTGTCATGGCGCCTGTACTGAACACATAATACTCAAAGAAATTCTGATGATGATGTGTGCTGGAACAGACATGGTTATTGATAAATATTTGAATATATATCATTTTTTTTCTTTACAAATTCTGTTTTACTAATTAATTAAAAAGAATAAGGTGATAGCATCAGTGGTATTGTGATAGAATTATAGTTTTCATCTGGTAAATGTTTTTTTCAAAAAACATTTTAAAAAAAATACTCAATTTTTTTTTTTTTACATCTAATTCAGATTTGATAGAAAACTGTAATTTTAAGTTAAATTAAGTCAAAAATATGAAAATTCCTAAATTACGAATGTATATTGACCTAATAAGACATAGAATTTTAATCAAACCTGACTGAATAGAAACTTCACTTCATGCAGCTATCTTAATTTATTTGAATCCCTTGCCCTGTTTTTTTATTTCATGCTTTTCTGTTCCCCCATGAAAACAACTGGCCCCCTCCTGGCCCCCTGAATAAGGCAAGGCTGGATATAACACTTTACAAGTTTTTGCCCTTTTCAGGTCGATTATCTAGTCGTGCAAGATTTTTTTTCAATCGGGGCGAGTTTTGGCTTAAAATAGGCTTTTACTAAAAACAAAAAGACAAATTAAACGTCCCAATTCTCCACAGGAAACTTTGCTCTAATGTTGGAGGTAAAAATGTAACTATAGCTGCTGGATGCGCCGCATCAACCAATCAGAGATGCTGATCTGGGAGTAGGGCTGGGTATTGTTCAAAAACTTTCGGTACCGGTACCAATACCGATACCTTCACTTCGATACCGGTTCCTGAACGATACTTTTTTCGATACCAGTTTTATAATATCAATTCGAAGAAAAAGAAAATTACACAACATAAAAAAGTACAAATCTTGAGTTTTATTTTAAGCTCTGATTTTTCCATTTACATTTTTCCTCTTACATAAAAAAAAAAAAAAAATCAGTGTCTAATATTCACTGTAACATTGTGAGGACCTTTTTACTTAGCAGTTTACCATGTCTGACAAACAAGCCCGTTGAATGGGATCCTACTGACAGCGCACCGCTGGTATGTGGGGGTCTGAGCGGCTCTGACAAAGAATATTGGAAGGCTGATATGGATGAACTGACTGCAGTGATTAAGTTTTCAGGTGGATTTTCCCACTTAAAAACATAATAAAACTACTTTATTCCCACTGATCACAGCAAATATAGCTGCAAGGCAAATAAAGGATAGAGTAGCTCCGCCCAACGCGCATCAGAGCCACTTTTGCACCGCGCAGCCAGAGCAGCAAAGCAGCTTCAGCCGCGCGTCAGAAGCTGGAACAAGCATCAAAAAAGGAAGCAACATACGTGATTTTGCTTCTCCTGCTGCGTCCAGTTTGAAATTGCAGCATTATTACAGCATTACTCAGCTCTGGCTTTGCTCTGCCCACGGGCTGCTGAGAGGAGGATGGTCGCGCCGGCTGCGGTCCGCTCTTCTTGCAGTCAAACACCGAGCAACTTTCCGGTCTTAAATTGTCTCCGTGCACGATGTATTGCATTGCGCACTATTAGCATCAGTCTTAATAAAGTGAAGCCGCACTTTTGACCTGGGGGGCATTTTAAAGGGTTTCCGCGACGCTCACAACCAGTTCACAACAGAAACACATGAACCCTGGCTGTAGGCGTGACCACCTGTGTATTTTTCCTGGATGACGCAATCACGTTAAGTGTTACAGCCAATCACCGAAACTTGGTACCGAAAGACGAGGCATGTTTCGATGCTCTGTAGAACCGAAGCATTTCGGTCGGTACCATAAAAGAACCGAAGTTCGGTACCCAGCCCTATCTGGGAGCTGGCAGGGAGTCAGACGCAGCACTGCTGATGCAGAGCGCTATGATCACTCCTCTGAAACAGTTTATTAACGCCTAAATTAACTTCAAACGTAGAAACCTGCCGGCAGAATATGTTGGCTTTTATTATCCTGCTGCCTGCAGTTTGTAGCACAGACCTGAAAAACGCTAACATCTACTTCCAGCCGCCACCAACAGGAGGGGAAAACCCTGGAGAGGCGAGCGGGCCTGAGGCAGCTGCTGCTGGGGATTCCCAGTGACAGCGCAGCGCCGGTATGTGGGGGTCTGAGCGGCTCCCACAGAGAAATAATCTTTGAAGGCAGGATGGTAATCTGGATGTACAGAAGAGGATTAGGGCCACTCAAAAAAAAAAGTTTACTGATTTTTCAATTTTATTTCAGTTTAATAAGGGGAGGGGTTAAATGAAGAGAGTGAATTTCTACAATGTGAGATCAATAAAATTCAATTATTATTATTAAAGTACAGGTCTAGCGCCCCTAGTGGCCAAAAGTTACACGGTGTAGCTTTAAGTAGAAATGTTTACTATCTCTACTTTAGTGCACTAATTATTTTTTACACAACTCTTTACTTCTACTCCTTACATTTTAAAAACGACGAAACAACGAGTTGTTACTTCTGTTTCATTTAAGCTTATTTTCCTTCTGGCCTGTTGGCATTTAAAAAAAATAATAAAAACCTTCAAAATAATTTGTTTCAACCAGACAATTCCACACCACATACCAAAATAAATAGTTTTTCAAGATGATGCCAAGTTAAATGTGTCACTGTTACCCTTAGTTATAAAACTAAGAAAATTAAGTCAAAGTTTTCATCCAGAATTGTAGAAAAATGTTTCTTTAATAGAGTAGAGAAGTAAAGCTTCTGGCTTTAACACTTTTTCCTGCATTACTTTTATACTTTAAGTCGTTTTAAAAATGGTACTTTTACACTTTTACTGGAGTAAAAAGCTGAAGTTGATCCTCTAACTTCAAAAAAAAAAAAAAGTTTTTAAACAGCAGGATTTATACTGGAGGAATAAAGATGAACTTTGTTTACCTCTGGTGGTGACATTATGTGGGGAACATTACTAGTTGGGACCACACACCTGTATGATCCGACATATATGGAGATTGTTTAGCTCACAGACTGTGTGCTGGTTCCAGTCTGAGCCAAGAGGAAAAGGGTCACGAATCAAACAGATTGTTTTCATACTGGGAGACCAGGCCAAGTCCAAACTGGGACATTTCCAGCCTCAGAGGCACCTTAGACTAACTAAGGAGAGGACGGCAGGAGACGAAAACCTCCCACTGAAGAGAGGAGACTCTGCATGCAGGTCAGACAGCCTGATGGAGGCTTGCGACATCCCTCCAGTTCTTAGGTAAAACCCGTGTGACGCCCAGAGCGCAGGATAAGCACAAACATGTTTCATCTTCACACCAAAGAGATTGTTCAAACCTGAGTGATGAGTAATACCCCAAAGCTCTATTCCTGCATTTCTCAGATCCTAAGTCATCATATCCAGCTGTGCGTCATGATTCTGGACGTTCTCATGGGTTTATGTACGTGCTGACCTCCAGCACAGGCACCGGGTTAGACGTCTAGCAGCCAAATAATCACAGCCAGGGAGGATTTACTATCAGAGAATACTAGGCAGGTTCCTAGGGCCCCAAGTTCCTGGGGGCCCCATAAATCTCAGCTTACATGTATGGTTAATACAATTATTCCTTATTATGTTTTGGATAAAAATCCTTTGGCTAAAATGCCATCAGAACGCTGATAATATTAAGTGTGTCCCAGCCCCCCCCTTCAGTGTCCACCATATTGGATCAGTCCATTTGCTGCACATGTTCAGAAAGGTCCAAACAGACAGCAGCAAACCATTTGAAAACAAACCATGCAAAGAGCAGCGTTGCCAACTTAGCGCTTTAGTCGCTATATTTAGCCACTTTTCAGACCCCTCTAGCACTTTGATTTCTAAAAAGCTCCTAGCGCCAAATCTAGAGACTTTTTTCTGCTACTGGAGACTTTGGAGACAACATCTAAAAGCAGCGAACTCTGCTCTCCAGAGCGAGTAGATTGGTAACCCCGCCTCCTACTCTCCTCTATCTTGTCTGCTGTCATGATTCATGCAGCTATTATTTCATCCAAATGAAAAATGGAGAACAGATAAGCAGATCATGGCTTGTCTACAGTGAAAAGAAGGACTGGGTTATTTACTTTGGCCGTCGCCTTTTTGGGCCGATTCTCCAGTCATTTTTCAATCGGGTCGACTTTCAGCCTGATCGTGCGTCATGTAGTTCACACGGGGTAACGAGGGGCGATCAGCCTCAACAACCAATAAAGGTCCGGAGACATTTTTAGTTATATTCAGTTACTTTAAACAGAATTTAACACTGAAATAAAATGAGGTGTTTATGCATCCTTGTTATTCATTGATTTTTTTTAAATAAAAACATAAAAAAAATAAAATAAAATGTTTCCATTTTATAATCTAGAGTGTTTTTGGTAAGAAGAGAACAATCATTCAGTTTGGTATTTAGACAATTCCCTAATTCACCATGGCAACCTAAAGCCCACTGCTCTCATTAAGCCATAAATAAAATAAATAAATAACAAACGCTCAGTTCCGGTGTTTTATAAAATATGTGAATCAGTAAATTGTCTAAACTTAACGATTGTTGTTCTCTACTTCAAAAAAAAACAAAAAAAAAATAGATTTTAAAATTGTTTTATTTAAAAAATTCTATGTATAACATGGATGCATAAAAACTCATTTTATTTCAGTGTTTAATTCTGTTTAAAGTAACAGATTATAATTAAAAATGTTTCTGCACCTTTACTGGTTGATGATTTTCTTAATCACACCCTGCTGAGTTTTAATTGGTGACCCCTGGTCTGTTCTATTAACATTTCTCTATCTGTAGAATGGGGCTGTTTTATGTGTTGTCTTATTGGTTCAGGGGGACCCCTGCCTGTCTCTGCCTAGGGCCCCAGTTTTCCTAAATCCGCCGCTGACCAGAGCATCAAACAGACCGACCTGCGTTCTGAGCGCCTCGGCCTGAACCACAGCAGCGTCAGCGGTACCTGCCCGCACTCCCCCACTAGCTAACCGGCTAACGGTACCACACCAGCCCGAGCGGCGCTCCCCGGAGTGCTGGAGCGAACAGCGGCTAACTGAACTCACAGGATCCCGGAGCAGGTCGTGCAGACGAAGGAGCCCACTGTCATGTTGACATAAGTCGGGCCGCGCTGGTCACAGTCGAAGCATTTCCTATTCGCGGGCAGGCTAGTCATTTCCCGGAGCATCTTTAGGTGAGTCTCCTCCTGCTTTCGCTTCGCGCTCGTCGCCATGGCGGCTCGCGGCAGATGGTGTCACCGGGAGGAGGTCTGGTAGCAGAACCCGGCGGCGGAGGGCGCTTCTACTGGGGACAGACTCGCCGCGTCTGACGGCGGGGGAATGGGAGACACCTTGCTAAGGACCGGCGGGCGGATTGAGCGAACTGACTGACAAACTTCTTCTTCTGCGGCTGAAACGTTGCCTAACCACAGACCGCCCCCCTCCTCCACAGAGGCAGCGCCATCTGCTGGTCTGGAAGGATAGCAGCACAGAAATTGACTTTAATCACTGAATGATTTTGTTCAAATGAAAATTGATGATAAATGTAGACAGTATCATGCTGTGGGACTGTTTCAACTTCACCACAAATAAACAGATGGTTGAAATTTAAAGGAAAAGTCTGCTCATATTCAGAATTCAAACTTATGAAAGTTCTTTAAATCTGAAATGATTCCATCGTGTTCAATAAATGATCAGTGTTTTTAATCCAGAGTAATTTTCCTGTGAATGTGCTTTACTGGAGGCATCCATGTTTGTCAAAGAACACTACTGCCACCTACTGGTTAGTGACGTCACTGTGCGGTATCGGCTGTTGATCAAGTCCCAGTGCTGTATCTGGTGTTTGTCACAAAGCGCTATTATCCAAGTCATCTTGAAAACATTCTTCTTCCAAATGTTGGCTACATATTACGGGTTTTTTCTCTGGCCAGAAGTTCGATGGCAAATCCTCCCTCTTCAAGTTGGCGATCCAACGACCAACCCGTCCGTGGAGGATCAGGAATCAGAAAGGTGGAATAACTCTTTTTTTTCCACTTTTACCCGATGTATTCCAGCATCCAGCTGCCATGCACGTGGGCATTGTCAGTTTCACTATAGCTCTGGTGAATTTCAATGGTGAAGTCCTCTGGAAATCTTCAATAATTGTTGTTGATTGCAGATGTGTCTAGTAGTTCCCATTGATTTAGCTTGGAAAGCGGGGAGAATGGCGCTAGGCTTAGCGCACCGTGACGTCACTGCTGGAAGATGGCTGGAAGGAGGGGTTAATATATTTGGGCAAAAATGGCCGCTCCCAGACTCAGTGTTCACGACGGAGATAATTGCTTTCATTTTTTCTACTGATTATCACTAAATTCATGAAATCACCGCGAGCGTATTAGTTTTAGGTATAAATAATGACCTTTTGATTATTCTGGACTTTCCCTTTAAAAGGTCCAACATTATGCTACTTTTGAAAAAATAAATAATAGTAACACAGAATAATACATAAGGAGAAGGCTAGAGCTTGATCGCTACGGACCGCTCTGGACAGCCTATTTCCCCTGATGACATCATAAGGAGAATGATCTTTACATTTTTAACGGACTTTAGCTAAGAAGTGGAGAAAGGCAACGATAGAGGGGAAAGGGTTCTTTTTCATTGGTGAACCTCATAAACAGGCTTCAGGACACATCTACATTGTACACCTGCATTCAGACCGAGCGTGGTGTCCGTGGTAACCCTATGCCAACTGCGAGTTTGGGTAACTGGGTCACCCAGACGCAGCTCTGGATGATCCAAAGTCGACTTTGATTTAGTGCTTCCGGGACTTTTCCAAAAATTGACTTTACTCCGATGATTGATGGCAAAGTCAGTTGTGTGTAGAGAACAATTTAGCAGCAGTCTTTAATGGTAAGTTTCATTCAAATTCTGACAGCAACACCTTGACAGGAAATGCTATGGGGTTGCCAGGGGTAACCGCAGGTCCAAACTGAAGGATCTGGGAGGCTGGTGATTTACTAAATATTAAATAATCATTGCAGCCACTAAATAAGGTCAACATGCCCGCTGTTATATTCAGGAATGACATGTGATGTTAATGTGGAGTTTGGAAGCTTAGGCAGAATACAGATTTATTTTACGTCTGTAGACCGAGAGATACAGTACATACATTTATACAATAGTGCTCGGGATCCGCGTTGCATTGTGGGACGTGGCGGCCATATTGAGGGCTACGCGAACGTAAACATAGCTCTGAAACAAAGTTGTTGTTGAAAGTAGAGACGTAGAAGTAGAGAGAAAAAAGATGTTAAAATTCCGAAAAGGATCTTGAATTTACCGGAACCGGTATGTTGACAAAATCAGCATTATTAATCATTTGGATCCATATGAAGTTCCAAACAATGAGTGGAGCACCGATGAGTGAGCGCCTATACTTCAAAACAGTTCCCAAGCTACAAGTCCTTGGAGTCTCATGTGCAGTTCATGAATGGATGGGTTCAGGAGCTGCAGATCATAAAGCCAGCAAACAGTGGGAACACAGTAATCCGTACGAAGGTAAGCTGTGATCAGACGGGCTCTGGAACCTGCTAGTTTAGTAGCTGCTAACCGCTAATGCTAACAACCACTCACGCATGTAATGTACTTTTAACTAGCTGCTATGTGTTTCAAAGGTGTAGTTAGTAACGTTAACTGCCAACCCTCCGGGTTTCTCACGTATTTGAGCCTTTTCCCGCTGCCGTTTTTATTATTTTCCCGTAAAAGATCCCAACTTTGATGGAAAGAAACAATGAAGGCTATAAAATAAAACCGTGCATCTTTAACTTACCAGAATGAAAATGCAGGGAACACACTCTCATTGACATCGGGATACTGTGGAAAGTTATGTTCGGTCGTCTTACAGCCGCGATCCAAGCTAGCCGACGACTCTTTATCTCTGACACTTGGTCTCCGTGGTTACGCAGGAAAGCGGTGGAAAGTTAACCCATTTTCTATGTTTTTCGAATGGCGATCATGTGTTGCGCTGTTACAGCCCACAATACAGCAACGGTTTACCATGGTTGAAACCGAGTTAAGTTGAAATTAATCAAATTAAAACACGGCTGAGAGGGAGTACAGTACGCGGTAGTCATAGGCAGCAGTCTGAGCAGCGGTAAAAGAGGCATTCAAGATGGCGGCGACGCAAAGTGCTTACGTCATGACGACCAAGCCCTATAACTCTCCACACACACTCTCCCTTGGAGCTATCCCACCCCTACATAAAGAACTTCTCACAACGACCATTTGAAGGAAAAACAGCTTGAGTTCATCAAGGCTGTTCCCTGTCAGGTTAATCTATCTTTCACTGGTCAGATGGATCTCCTAAAACAGCAGTCCTCCCCTTCATGCCATGAAGGAGGCTGCGTGAATTAATTTTTATCTCATGACCTTCATTTAGAGCCATTTAGAGACATACCAAAACATTTTTACTCCACATTATGCAATATATTTATATCAGGAAACGAGTGCAGCGTCATTGGGCATTATTAAAAAGGATTCTGCCTTAAGAACCAAATCAGCTCAAACAACAGTTTTACCTGCAGAAATCAGTAGCACTGAGAAAGTCGAGTATTTTTATTTAAGTCAGAGCTTAATGGGGGGATAGTTGACCTCTGGGTGAGCTGAAAAATATTCTTTAATATCTCTAAAACAACAGCAGCATTCTTTATTTTTCCATTTATATCAATGACCATTTCAAATGCACAAACCTGCACTAATGAAGCAATAACCATTCAGTTCACTGGTGAAGATTCTCAGTCATTCAGGTCATAGTCATTCCAGAAAAGTTAAAAACAATCAACTGGACTTTGTTTCCAAGTTTTGAAGACGTTTCTCTTCCCATCCAGGAAGCTTTTTCAGTTAAAAATGTCAGAAATAGCCTTGAACTATTTCTGACATTTTGACTTGAAAACGTTTCCTTCCGCTGTCCAGGGTGGAAACACTGCATCTGAAACGCAGCGAGGCGAACGCCCGGAAATCACAGACGACACTGCGTTCGTTCCGAAAGCACCGTCACGATTCCAACAACAAGTTTACTTAAAAATAATTAACAGAAAACACATAATTTGGATTTTTGATTTAAAAACTTGAACATTTACCAGTTACCAATTTGTGTAATCCGTCGACTATAATTGATTTTTTCTAGAATTTAAACTTTTGTATCTTTCAAAAATGTATATATATTTATATATAATTTCTCTGTTCCTGTTTGGCTGTGACTCCATCCTGGAGAGAAATATCAGCTGTGCTGCTGCCATCAACACCTTTGCTTCTAGATGTTGGAGATCGGCCTGTTTTCCAGTGTAGTCCTGTTTCTCTGACTGTGACTAACTGGATGTGCTCTCTTCATCCTCTGACATGGGAGCTGGCTCGGAGCTCGTCTGCCTGGCTGTGTGTTTCCTGGACGGGGCCGCCTGTGGAGCTGGTTGACAGTTGCCTTTTGTATCTATGCTTCTTTTTCTATGTCTGCTTCTGTCTCCTTGAACCCCAGTGGGCCTCAGCAGATGGCCGCTCACACTGAGCCTGGTTCTGCTGGAGGTTTCTACCTGTTCAATGAGAGTTTTTCCTCTCCACTGTCGCTACAAGCATGCTTAGTGTGAGGGATTGCTGAAGAGTCAATGAGTCGATGCAATCAGCTGGTTTTCCTTAGATAGAAAACTTTGAATCAATCTGACTGGATGATCTGGTGAACTGGAAAGTGACCTGAGATGACATGATGTGAATTGGAGCTATAGAAATAAACTGAATTATATATATATATATATATAAATAAATTAAAATCAAAAGATAATCGATCACTAAAATAATCAATAGCTGCAGGCCTTTAATAAAGCTGTTCTTTTATTCAATGTGTTTTATAGATATATAGTTAAAAATGTTAAACTGTGGAAAACCTTCATAAAAAAACAAAAACAACCAAATGCAAACAGATTTTTTTTCATTTTAAAAGAAAAATAACAAAAAGGTTAGTAACTTCAGAATCTTTTTTTTTTTTTGTTACCGTTTGTTTAGTGAAATGAGAGCAACACAGAAGAGTTAAAATTCAAGCCTTTAGTGTCCTTCTTCTTGGCCCCTTTTACACACCAGGTGCTGATTGAATATCCAGAGAAGAGACATGGCCTGTCCCTGATTTGGCCTCGCTGACAGTGAGCGCTCTGTTCCCCTTCATGGCCGGACTCCTCCTGCTCTGCTCGTCTCTTTGGCTCTGCAGGAAACGGCTCCTCCACCGTGATGGGCTTTGGTCCATTTAATTCCATCATTTCCAGTTGAGTTTCTTTTAATTATGAGTAAAATTGGCTTCCTGTCAAAGCAGCCGAGGTTGATCTGCACCAATCATCAACCGACAGCTGCCTGAATTTACGCTAATATGAAGTCAGATGTGGCGCAGCGGAGGAGGTGTGGAG